TGCGCTGTTTATATCTCTTGATAAATTCAAGAAGAACCAGAGCAGCACACAGAAACGCTGTTTACCTTCCCGCCGGAGCGGTACCTATTTATCTACTTGCACTTTGATGCGTTTTTGAACTGCTAGGTTGGCAGGAGCAGGGACCGAGCAACAGGAGTTCACTCTGTCGCGGGGATTCGAACCGCCAACCTTCTGATCGGCCAGTCCTAGGCTCTGTGGTTTAACCCACAGCGCCACCCGCGTCCCTGATAGGAAATAACTGGATCTTTCACATATTCATATAGTGGATGGTTGGTTCCATAATTCAAGGGAAAATTTGAAGAAAAATAGGACTGTAAGTCTTCATAACATTTAACCTATTTTTCCTTGTCCCCCCCGTCCCCCCACCCACTGCTTAATGTAACAAGTTTCCTCATTAAGAGTTCTGAAAAACTTTAAAGTTTGCCACAATTTTGCTACATTTTGGGTTGGTTCCAGTTATTTGCTCAACTTTGGATTTGGAAGTATTTTCTTACAGGCCAGCATTACTATCTTTGGTTTTCATAAATTGAAACAGTATTTGGAGTTAAGGTTGTATAGCTTTGTCCTCCAATTTGGGGAGTCCATTTCAAATAAATCCTTAGTTCTCAAGCTATGGGGCAGCTCTTCTGCCTTTGGGGGGGGGGCACCTGGTAGAGGGCTCAGAATTCTAGGAAATGACAAGCAATAGATGCCTTTTTCATCCACCTTGCCAGGAGCTGGTTCTTTCTTTCTTTCTTTCTTTCTTTCTTTCTTTCTTTCTTTCTTTCTCCTTATATTATTTACATTCATTTCTCTCCTTTCCCTCCAATATTGTTCAAGGCTACTAACAATAATAATCCTACTACATTTTTTGAAAAGAATATGTAGAATATAGCAATCGGGTTTACACCTGGTACAAAATGCAATTGTAGCAGTACAAACAGACCTCAGATGTGGATCATTATGTGTGCACAATTGGAATAATGGGTGTGGCAGAAAGCATTTCCCTGACAACAGAGATCCAGTAGTTGTGAGAAACAAGGTATTGGTGGAGTAAATTAGATATTATTCCCTGAGGTTGGTTCTTAGTCTTCCAGGTCTAATGCTTTTCTTCTAATTGTCAAGACGAGCAGCAGTTAATTGATCTTGTGTATCCCCTCATTAAAGGCTCAGCTCTTCTAGACAGCAGCACCTGCCACACAGTGGTGGAAAGCTAATGCACAGCATCTTCAGTTATTTATGGAAATAGTCATATCTCAGTAGGAATGTTGTTCCATGAAACAGGAGCATCCACACTGAAAGCCCAGTTGCTGTGAACAGGCATCTGATATTTTAGGGGCTTGGAGGAAAAACTCTCCTTCAGAATGCAGTGGCCTACCAGGTATATAAGGGATGAGGTGGTCTCTCAAGTAAAGTGGTCCAGAGCTGTATAGGGTCTTTTATATTCATACTAAAACCTTGAACTTGGCCCAGCAGCAGATTGCCAGTCAGTGTAAATCCTGCAGACAATTTGCAGAATGTGTTGGTGATACTTTGCTCCCACAAGCAACCTAGCCTCTGAATTTTGTACTAGCAGAAGCCTCTGAATCAATCTTAAGGGTAGCCACACACAGAGTGCACTGCAATAATGTATGCACTCCAATTTTCCACAATATTTTGCAAATATGCTGAATGGAAACTTGCATGCTGACCTGGCAGAGGACCCTTGTTCATCCGCACTGTGTTCCTGAGGGTGATAGCAGCTGCACCCTCACTCTCCCATCTTCTTGAGATTTGAGAACGGGGTTCAGATAGCATTGCTGCTTTTGGGAAAGGAGATAAGAGATGTCCCGCTCATTTTCTGTTTTAGTGCTGGCATTGGGATAAGTTCTTCTGTCTGTAGCTACTAACCTTTATCCTTTACCTTTAGTAGTGGTAGTAACTGCATACCACTGCATGCGAAGATCACTGCAGATTCACAGACTATTTGTGCTGGGTTAGAGGCCCCAGAAGGGTAAAATAGGTTTTTAAAAGGGGCCTGAGTTCAAAAAAATGTGAAGAACACTGGGCGGGGGAGCATTGCAGGATTTTTTGGCACATGTTCACATTTATAAATTGATCCCTGCTGTTTGGAATGCATGAGTTAAAAGAAGGCAAGCAAAAGGAGAGCCTGATACTGTGGCAAGCTGTAGCAGTCCTTGGGGAATTGCCCTTTGCCCTTCTAAGTCCATAGTTGCCTTGCAAGTTCTGAAGATAGTTCAGTACTTTGTGTGAGCTGTGGCCGGGATGACGGTCATCTTTGGGGACTTAGCCCTTTTGAAAAACTACTCTAAAAGAGCAAGAATACTGTAGTTGTAAGAAGTTTTCTTCCACCTACCCATGGAGGTTTACTCACATTTCGTAACTCTTAAGCTTAAGCAGGGGATCATTTGAAGGCTAATATGTAACTAGGCAATTAATACCATGTATTTGGAAATAATAATAAAAACCTGGATAATTTGAATGAGCAGGTAGGAATTGGGGAAATCAGGCAGCTTCCTATGAATTTAAGGTGTGGCATTTTTAAAAGTTTTTTTTAAAAAGAACTTTGTCCAGTTTGGGGCCGTGTGTGTGTGTGTGTGTGTGTGTGTGTGTGTAAATTTTACAGAGAACCAAGTATTGCATGCCCTCCTGTTTCTATAAAAATGCATGTTCTTTAATTGTGATAGGCAAATTGCTATCTCTCATTGCTTTTAGTAAATAGCTTGTTTTGCTTATTTGTATTTCATGATTACAGGCTAGATACACAGTAATAGTTATTTACCATTATTGCCACCCTGCTACAAGTTCCCTTCCTTGCTTCATTGGTTGATATTTGCAGGGTGGGGATCCCTGTAGTGTAGCACCAGTGTAGCCTGGCCCTGGGAATTGCCCTTAACTCATTTTCTATGGGTTTTCTCAGTTGGCTTGCAAAGACTCTTTCCCCTACTTATCATCTCCTGTTTTGCTGTAAGGTACTCTACTGAAGGAAGTTTGGATTACTCCAGAGTAAATGATTAATTGCATCATAAATGGAGATGTGAAGCCCCCCCAAAATGGGGGGCTCCAGTTTTTCCCAGGCCTTCACATTTCTAAGTATAAATGTTCCATTGTAAAGTGAAAATAATCTCAGTGAATATAGACAGTTTAGCTTTGCTTATTGCCAAAGCATTGGGGTAGTGCCATTTCACTGTACAATTCTTTCCAGGCTGTGCAAATGCTTCCCACATCTGACCCTCCCCTTGCCTGCTGTGTGTTGTAAGGTCTCCAGAGAAACTATAAAGCTTTTATCCTCGCTTTGAAATGTTGGAAGGGGCAAACCTCTTTTGCACTGGCTCTTTGCCAGATGTATTGGTCTTAGATTCCTGCTTTGGTTTAGATGGCTTCTTCTAACAGAAATGTAATAAATAATAATAATGCAGTGGTACCTGGGTTTTCGAATGTAATCTGTTCCAGAAGACCATTCGAGTTCTGAAATGTTCAAAAACCGAAAACTCAAAACAGAAGCCTCAATATGGAAAACTCAATACGGAAGCCGCGTGGCATGTTCAACTACCAAGGCTTATTCAAAAACCAAAGCATTTACTTCTGGGTTTACGGTGTTTGAAAACCGAAATGTTCGTCAATGGAGACGTTCAAAAACCGGGGTACCACTGTAATGTGGGTAGTTACTATTTTTGTTTGTTGCAATGTTGTAAATTTTTGTATTTTTATATTGTAAACTACCCTGTAGAATGGGAGCGGGTGGTGCTGTGGTCTAAATCACCGAGGCTCTTGGGCTCGCTGATTGGAAGATTGGTGGTTCAAATCCACGCGATGGGGTGTGCTCCCATTGCTCTGTCCCAGCTTCTGCCAACCTAGCAGTTCGAAAGCACACCAGTGCAAGTACATTGGTACTTCTGGTTATGAACTTAATTTGTTTTGGAGGTCCGTTCCTAACCTGAGGTACCACTTTAGTTAATGCGGCCTACCGCTGCGCCACCAGCACACGATTTCTGTTCTCATCCTGGGGCAAAGTTCTCAACCCGAGGTACTACTTCCGGGTTAGAGGAGTCTGTAACCTGAAGTGTTTGTAACCTGAGGTGTTTGTAACCCAAGGTACCACCGTAGATAAATAGGTACCACTGTGGAGGGAAGGTAAACAGTGTTTCTGTGCGCTTTGGCTTCTGTCACAGTGCTTTGTTCCACCAGAAGCAGTTTAGTCACCCTGGGCACATGACCCAGAAATCTGTCCATGGACAAACACCGGGTCCCTCGGCCTGAAGCAAAAAGAGCACCGTACCCCATAGTCACCATTGACTGGACTTAACCGTCCAGGGGTCATTTACCATTTTCCTAAAATACCCTGTGATCCTCTGATGAATGATAGTATAGAAATTTAATAATAATAATAATTGCCAGTAGTCAATGCTCACATCTCCTATTCCTCCTCTTGGGAAGAGAGAACACTTATTTATTTCAAGATAATACACTTTGTTTTTCTTTATTGAGTTGGTAGCACACTCTTTTCAGCACCTGCTTGGATGCTGTGGCTCTGTGAGACTATTTTTAACCAAAGGTTGGGTGTCAGAAAGGCACAGAGCTTAATTTAGAGACTGGTTTTGGAAAGCTTGAAGTATTGTCTTTACCAGTGCAAGGAATTAATGAAAAAGAGAAAAGAGAGCAACTCGATACTGAAAGATATGCAAAAGGAAAGCAGCATTTGGGATTTGTTTAAGGCTGTTTGTCTCTTTCCCCCTGTACCCCTGGAGTGCATAGTTATTGTTATAGAAGAAATGGCTGAAACCTGGAGAAGGTGAGGTTAGGGAATGAGGAAAAATGGACTGGCAACCAGATTGCTTGCAGGCCAGATTCCTAATGAGAGGCTTCATAAGCGTATTTCCCACTTACGTATAACACCTGCAAAATATTTAAGGCACTAAATAAAAACATTTGCCCTGCTGTTTTTGTCACATTTTCCCATATTTGTTTTAAGTAAATTATCTTGTTTTCTTATATTTTAGATCTTATTCAGTGCACAAATGAGATGAATGTGAATATTCCACAGCTGGCAGACACACTTTTTGAGAGGACAGCAAACAGTAGCTGGGTAGTAGTGTTCAAAGCTCTAATTACAACACACCACCTCATGATGTATGGAAATGAGGTAAGACAGTAGTCAATTTGCCATAGAACATTGTGTTTAATGGTAGGAAAACATTCAGATGTGAAGTGCTGGTGATCTCTGAAATGATGGTGAGAGAGAACAATTAAAAAATACCAGTCTGAATTGTCTATCCTGTTGCCTCAGTAAGCAAGTACGAAAGCCTGAGCTTAGCAATACCCCCCTGCCGCCGCCTTTAAAATACTCAGATTGCTAAATTAGTGATTGTATTAAATGAATGAATTGTCAGCATTGCACTGCTGGTATAGCTTTTCATTTCTGTAGGAGAAATTTATACATATACTCAAAGGTGCAGGAACTCTGTTCTGTATCTAGCAGTTGTGGAAACTATGTGTCAGGTTGCATTTGGCTAGATTAGAAATATTCCTACAGAAGTCTGAATCGGAAATGAATTTAATACACATCTCATTATAACACATATATACCTACACACATTGGGGTAAATTTGAACAATAAGCTTTTCTACAACCATCTCACTCTTCACAGAATTGTATAGGAAATGTTTTTGGAGAATAAGCTTGGAGCTTTTTCATTCATTACATAGCCCTTGAAATTCTATTCATGGTGGAATCAGGAGCAGGCCTTGGTCTCATTTGCCCCAATCAACTCCCCTAAATTTCTTCTCACAATAAAATAAGAAGTGCTTGAGTAGATCCCACTTCAATTTGAAAAACTGAATTTCCTTGAAATTACAGGATATAACTTGCTTTCTAGTGGATTCAGTCTCATGGGATTGGGGAGATGCAGCAATCAAATAAGCACAGACCTCCCAAGTATGGTTGATAACTCCTGTCAGTGGTAAGAGGGAGCAGGGTGCATTCTCTATCTCACGGCTGGAACAATCCCAAGGGACAATGAGTGAATGAGTGAATAGTTCCTTAGTCATGTCATCTTGCTGTAAATGTGATGAGCGTTGAAGGTGTTGGCAATGGGGGAGGAGGAGAATGTATTTGTCTGTAGTTTATACTAGCTTCATTTCCTTATTCCATGTAGATGGAGAGTTTGCATGTGCGTCACTAAAGAATAGCCTCGGAACCATGTTTGTATCTTTTCATAACCCTGCTGTGATGTGGGCCACATATAAATGAATTTTATGCAAAGGTGTAATGTGTAACAAGTTCTGCTGCCGTTATCCTTTCTTCACATCAGAGTTTGCACAACATGGTGGCTGTCAATTGTGTTACACATTGGCCCTTGTTGCATAACTCAGTTCCAATTCTGGCTCTCCTGAGCAGTGATTGAAAAAATCAGGCTTGATAGTAGATCTAATTTGCTTGTCTTAGTATTAGATTCCCCTCCTGCTTTTAGATATGCCTTATACAGCTGCGTAGAAACTAGTTTCTCTAACACGGTTATGTCTATGGGGGAAAAATAAATGAAGTAATCTGGAATCTAATTCTTTCTCAAACAGCGTTTTATCCAATACTTGGCATCTCGAAATACCCTGTTTAATCTCAACAACTATCTGGATAAAAGTGCCATGCAGGGTAAGAATTTTTTACTTTTCTATTCTGAGGCAGATTGCAATTTGCAGAATAACTTCTATGGACTAAAGGAATGTTAGAAATTCAGTCATCTTAAATAAACCCATTAATGTATCCAAATTGTATTGGAGAGGCATGCTCTCCATTAAATGTAAATCTACAATCTTATTGGTTGCTTAGTAGAGTTCTAAATATTCAAAACCTGAGAAATACACACTGCAGAACTTGTGTTGTTTGTTGTTTGACTCCGAGGTTACTTATGGGGGATTCTGTAATCCTTATGATACATAGAATTGTCCACTCCCGGATCATGGCGGCTCTGATGACTTGTTTGTCCCAGGGGCAGAATACCCCCTGGAATATAGCAACCTGGTCTAGACAGTTGTTTGAGGCTTCATAAACCATGGCTTATGATCTCAACTTGGTTTTCAAACCAACATGTGGCCAGAATTCCCTAGTTTGAATGTAATGGGACTTGATGCAAGCCCAGCAGATCCTTTGCATCTTGACCCTGGCACCCACTTCTGGCACCATACCCATGAATTTTGAAGCTTCTAAACTGAATCAGAACAGTATGTGATTTATGTGTCTCTGGAAGAGAGAGCCAAAGGAAAATAATGGTTACCCCCAGATGCTAGATAACATTCCCCCCGGTTCTCTTACATGAATTATGTTTCTATTTGATAGATGTTCATTCTATTTTGAAGAGATAAGTGTAGACTTTAACATGTATATAATTTAGATTTCCTTTTAAACCAGTTTATTGTTGTTGTTTCAATTATAGTATACCTCAGAAATAAAGAATCTAAATTTAAAAATCATTTTTATCAACCCTGGTAAAATGGCTTTCTGATGGTGCAGATTGTTAAAATATTAGTTTATTGGTGAAATACAAAACTTTTATAAAATCTTGTGTGAACTACATAAACATGTGTTAACCACACATAAACATATTTTTCAATTAAGACTGTTAGAGAGTCTCACTGGTTCAAAAAGTGTTGGTTTTTATTAATTTCATGAGGCAACATTCAGAGAAACTATACCAACTTATCAGTGCTGGAAGCATGATCACTATACTACTAGTTTCAAATGTGTTTAATAATGGCAAAGGTGTGAAGAAGGTCCCCAAGGAACTTTTGGAGCATAATTCACACTGAGTAAAAAGTGATAAGAATACTAGAAGAATGAAAAGTCTAATTGAATAGCATTTCATTTCCAGGCTATGATATGTCTACTTTCATCAGACGATACAGCAGATACTTGAATGAAAAAGCACTTTCTTACAGACTTGTAGCAGTTGATTTCACCAAAATGAAAAGAGGGTAAGAATTCCATTTATTTTTATGCTCTTCTAGTGACTGGATGGGCATCAAAGTGTTTGAGAAAACAAAATTGTCAAAACAGAGTTTGGAAATTTGTGCAAAAAAAATGTTCTGGTGTGAAATTTGAAGTATGCAGTGATAGAAAAATGCAACTTTTGGAGCATTGAATCTGACAGTACATAAAATGTTCAGTGGCACTGTGCAACTTGCATAAACTTTTAGGTATAAGTTTGAACCTTTTGGGAGATCAGAATATTCTTTAATATGAATTTTATTCATATTATTTTATTCATATTATTTTATATGGAATAATTTGATGCAGAACTTTATTCATATTATTTTATATGGAATAATTTGATGCAGAACTTTGGAAAATACTATTCTATATATGTTATTCAAAAGTCCCACTGATTTCAATGGGCAGCAGTAGAGTCCTCTTTGTTTGATATAATCTGTAGTGCTGACATCGGATACCATAATAGTGTGTTCAATGATTGTATTTGTTTGGTTTATTTTCTATTTTATTTTGAAGGATTGATGGTGTGATGAGAACAATGAATACTGAAAAACTTCTGAAAACACTCCCAATTATTCAGAATCAACTAGATGCACTTCTCGATTTTGATGTAAGCACTGTAGCTGTTATTTATTACTACAATCCATGATAAGCTTAATGGAGGGTGAAAAATGTGTTATGATTTCACTATCTAGTGATTTGACTTAAAAAATCTCTTTGCTTTTTACGCAGGCAAACCCAAATGAACTAACGAATGGTGTAATAAATGCTGCTTTCATGCTCCTCTTTAAAGATTCCATTAGACTTTTTGCAGCCTATAATGAGGGGATCATTAACTTGTTAGGTATGTGAAACAAAACACAACAATTGTTTAAACATTTACCAGTGGAGACCTGTATAAATATGCAGATGTGGTTTTGTTTGTAATATCTTCCATGTTCATTTCTCCCTTCACTCCCTTGTGTTCTTTCCCATGTGTTTCTCTCTCCCTTCTCTCCCTCTTTCCTTCCCCCTTCATTGAACTTGCACATAATAATCCTAAATTTTGCTGATTCACACATCATAGTAAGCCAAGTCTCCTCGTTTGTTTCTCCTGGCTCCAGGCAGGGCAGAGTGAAGTGGGAGCAGTTGAGCAATGTTGCTCATTTGCAACAATCCACGGTTAATTTCTTGCTTTGGCTTACCAAGACATGCAAGCCAGCCCATTCACTACTTTTATACTTACACCATGTTCAAATAAAAAAAATTCCTTCCAGTAGCACCTTAAAGACCAACTAAGTTAGTTCTTGGTATGAGCTTTCGTGTGCATGCACGAAATTTTCTTCAGAAGTGTGCATGCACACGAAAGCTCATACCAAGAACTAACTTAGTTGGTCTTTAAGGTGCTACTGGAAGGAATTTTTTTTGTTTTGACTATGGCAGACCAACATGGCTACCTATCTGTAACATGTTCAAATAGTTTCTCTTAAACATGTGCACATAGCTAACGGATGGCCGACACCTTAATAGTCCTGCCTATTATCTCTTCTGTTGCACTCCTTCTCATAACAGTACACATAATTCTAGTGTGCCAGAAATTTATTTTATATTTAAACTACTAGGCAGCTGAAGTGTTCATAGACATAGCTTAACACTTCAGTGCTAAGCAAATGTCTAGGGAAGACTCATTTCACCCTGCAGAATTCAATAGCTGTTTTCTATTGTCTTTTCTTTTGTTGTGTTTATCTGATTTTAAAGGGTAGTGGTGGCTGGAGTAACTTGGCAAAAACACTTAAAGCTTTTGTGTGTGTGTGCTCTCATTTTATGCTCCAGTGATGGCCATTGTAATATGTAAAAGTTCTTGGGTGTGATGACAGCAAGAGTGCATGCTTATGCTCAGAAAGTGCTTTATATATATTTTTTATTATTTTCAGTGTAGTTAAGGCTTTGATTGATGTTCTGATTGTTTGGAAGATATGGAAGCTTGTTTGTCAGTGTTTGAATATGATTGGCTTACTAATTAAGTTCCTACAGTATTCTAAACTCAAACAAATTTAATGTGTGTGCAGTAAACCAGAAGATTGTAGGCCCCTTCTGAGACTCGCAATAGCAATAGATTTTGATCAGTGTATTCATCCTCAGCTGCAGATATATCTTTTCAGCTGACCTTCAGTTCTTCTTCAGGCTTTGTAATCCCTGCTTCTGTCAGTGAAGTTCCTGTGAAGGGCATTTGTTGAATAAACTTAACTGTTATTGGTGGATGCATTTTATGATCTTGGCTAAAACTGCTGTTAAATAAAGTTGAAATCAGTTAGTGAAATCTTCAAATAGTAAAGCATCAAACCTAGCCTTTTTAAGTTTAACATACCACTTTATTATTAATAATAATAATAATAATATGTTACTGTTCTTTTATTTACACACAATTTTTTCTTTGACTTTCATGCTTCAGAAAAGTATTTTGATATGAAGAAGAACCAGTGCAAAGAAGGTCTGGATATTTACAAAAAATTCTTAGCCAGAATGACCAAATTGTCAGAATTCCTCAAAGTGGCAGAGGTAAATAAATCCAGTAGCATTAGTAGTATTTCATTTAGCTCTCTGGACTGGTACAGTAATAAGTGCTTATGATCACAATTTCATGCAAGTTATGTATGTTGCTGAATGTAAACATCACTTAAACTATGTACATTTAAGGGTATATTTTGAAAGCTCTGTTTCTATTCATTTTTATCAACTAAGAAATGCCTGTTGAACAAAGGTTGTGGTTTTTTAAAAACTTATCTATTGAATATTTTTTCTCTCCAAAGTTCTGACAAGCTATTTATTACTATTTATGGTAACTGAAATACATAAAATCTTAAGAAATACCTTTCAGGATCTCCATATGAAATTTAGCTTAGAAGTTGCATTTAGAGTTGTACCAGTTCAGAAAGCTCTCCATGTCCTCCCTGTTCCCTTAGCTTTTATGTAGACATTCAGATCCACAGTTCTTTCTTTTCATTGCCACTGCATGTAGTAATGTACATTTTTTCCCTTTTTTGTGAACCCAGCAAGTTGGAATTGATCAGGGTGACATTCCAGATCTTACTCAGGTCAGTGTACATTTCATATTAATTTAACCCCCAAGTCCTGTGTCCTTTTGTGATTTTAATAGTTAGTGTTCCATTCTATACATTCTGAGAAATCATTTTCTTCCATATATACTATATATGGAAATACATGCCATTTTTCCTGTAACCTGTTTTGCTTCATATAGGTAATGTGCTCAGTAACAATTAATGCTTTTGTTTTTCCTGTGCTGTTTTGGAGAATATTATTACTAGAAAATTTTGGTGTTTATTTAAAACCAACACCACCACCCTTAAAACACATGGGGTAGGATACCTAAACCTGGTGGTTTGTTTTAATCAGCAATTTACACAAACTGAGCAAGTGGGGCCGTACAACTACTTCACTTGCTGAACAGCTTTCCCCTCCCCTTGCTCAGGAGGGGACCATAGCACACTGGAAGAGCATATGCTTGGCTCAACGTCCTTAAAAAAAAATAAATCAGTAAAATCTCTCTGCCTGGGAACCTGGAGAGCCTGTGCTCATCAGAGTAGACATTATTGGGCAAATAGTCTGACTTGGTATAAAGCAGCTTCCAATGTTCCTGTGTGTTTCAGAGATTTTTTTTAAAAAAAATGTAATTGAAAGCCAGGGAGGGAGTTGGCTGCTCAAATAAAAAGTAGAAAATGGAGGCCTCTAAAATTGTCCTTTGGGTGCTGACATAGGTATAAACTCCTGGTTATGGAAACTATATAGTTTTTTCTATGAGGTTTGCTGGTGCTCATACACCAGGCATATTATTCAGAAGTTGCAGCCACAGCTACAAAGACTTGATGAGGCCTATAGCTCAGTGGCAGAGCAAACTTTATCTGAAAATGGCCCAAGATTCAGTATCCAGGATCTCTAGTTATAGGATACAGTTAGCAAAGCTAGGCAAGAATTTAACTTAAAGAGTTTAGAGAGCTAAACACTGGGCTAAACAAAACAACAGTCTGATTCAATGTAAAATAGCCCCACGTGTTCACACAATGGGGGTGTGTACAGAATTAATTCCTGTAGGACAGCTCTACAAAGTGAAAAATTCTTGCTAGCCAGCTCAGAATCTGATACAGCAGTTCACATGCTGCCGATGTTACAACATTGCATCAAATGGTTCCCTAGATCCCTCTTAATCTTCGTGGATCTTTCCATTTGCTGGCACCATGCCATGCCCTTCTGTTTCTTTTCTTGTCCCAAATAGGCATTGCCTTTTGTACCTACTTGCGCATGTCATCCCTCTGTCCCCTTTTTTTTATTGTTGCCTCTACAGTTGCTTAACTCCTGTCTGTTTCTGTCTTACCAATCCAATGAGACAGCCCCCACAATGTGTCAATTGCTTTGTCAGCCCTTCTGGCTTCTTGACTGTTCTGATGACTTGGGTGCCTAGTAAAGGCAAGGTACTCCTTTTGACTGCATGCCCCTGAAGTGGGTCCCTTCTTTAAAATGTTGTGTGTGTCCCCCCACATTTTTGGGGTCACACCATTAATACCCCACTGAATGGCTTCAGACTTCTGTACATGTTGAATCTTAATCTGACAAACTGGGAGCAAAACTAGGACTATTGTGTTTGTGTGGAGCCCTGCTGAATAATGCAGGCTATAGAAGCGTGGGGAGGTTTTTGTTTTTTGTTTTTAATGCAAACATAGGCAAAGAAAAACAATAGGTAATATCCAATGTTAAGAGCAGACACCGTGAAATCAATGCAGATCACCCCAGTCTTTGGGTAAGCTTCAGTGGTTTATTTCAGTGGGAATGAAGTGCAACTACCTTAGTGTGCATCCAGCCTTAGTATGCATCCAGGAGATGTTGAATTGATTTACCTACTCTCTTTCAAGCAGTTAATATGCCACCCCTTGTGAATCAAAGCTACAGTGGTGCACAATACAGGAATCTTCATTAATACATTGTCTAATGCCTTTGGAACAACTTTTGCAAGTTAGCTCTTTAGAACTATTACCTTGGCATAATAGTTGTTTTCTTTTACTTTGGGAGGCTTAGTTTGAGCCCTTGCAGAACAGCCAATTATTTCTGTAAATACTATATGTGCCATGTTTTGGAGAAATGCAATCCACTCCATTTACCTGTGTGTGAGCATCTAGTAAAACAAAATGACACTCAGGTAGCTTATGGAGCTGAGCCGTTTTAAAATGAATTCAGCATTCTTCAGTTGTGCATATCATGTGCTCTTGTTTCTGATCATTTTGTCTACTGTAGAAGTTAATGAGCTGTGTGCTGATGAATCTTTTTTACAAGTAAATTTAAGGAACGTTTCACTCCAGTGTAGACTCTAGCATACCAACATAATAAACTGAAAACTTCACTGTGGAATTGTCAGGGCTAACCGATTTCACTTCAAGAACTGGTATTGCTGGGGTGCTCCTACGGTTCTCTGGAATAGTTCCTGAAAACAACTCATCTGGAAGATGGTGACAGAAATGTTATAACAAGCCTCCTGCCTAAATTTAAAAAAAAACAACAACCTTGCTCACAGAGAGAGCAATGTTTTGCCTGCAAAAGGACCCAGATTTAGTCCCTGGAAGCTCAAAATAAAACGGACCATGTAGGAGATAATGGAAAAGATTGCTGCCTTTGGTCCTGGCAAGCTGTTGCCAGTCAGAATCAGCAATGCTGGGTCTTATTGGCAAGTTGTCTGACCTGATGTAAGGCAGCCACTGTTCATTTCGCTCAGTTATGAGATTATGGTGGAAAGTAGATGTGGAGGCTTTGAGGCCATTGTCTTTCCTCTCTATGAATGTACCTTACATATAAGTGATTTCTTTTGTATTTGGAGTGGAAAAATGTAAAGAAGAAGAAGTAGTAGTTTGCAATCCTGCATACATTTGATAAGAATTTTCACTTTAGGCTCCCAGCAGTCTTCTTGAAGCTTTGGAGCAGCATCTGGCTTCACTGGAAGGGAAGAAGACAAAGGAGGTTTCAGCTGCTAGCAGGTAATAAATAGGCAGGTAGACTGCAACCAGAGTATTGATTATTGGCATACTGGAGTGTTGAAGTATAGGATGTTCCCATCTCTTTTATAGTCTTATTTTTTATGGCTTCAATGTAATGTAGCAGAATTGTTTCTTCTCAAATAGTAAGGGCAAAAGTGGGTGATAACACCAAAGCAATAATGAAAAGCAGGCTGTTAAAGTTGCACAGAAGATTTACTGAATTGTATAATTAGCCCAAAGCATCTGCTGCTATCATCTGCCTTTAAGAGTGGGTGGGTGGAATTATGGGCTGAAATGGGAAAAATAATTCTTTTTTCCCCACACTTGGATTTAAGTCCCTCTCAGTTCAGTGAGCTTTCTTCCCAGGTAAGTGTACATAGGATCCCAGATGCTATGCCCTTCTATCATTCTTTGCCAGGTTAATTTGGAGAAGACTAACGTTGTAGGGATCTGAATTCTGTCCTGCTTCCCCCTTACTCATGAACTATCTAGGTGATGCTTGATGCTTCCTTCGAGTTCAAAGATCTTAAATATGTGGTCCTTTTCCTTTAAAATTTCAGAGCAAGCACCCTATCCAGTGCAGTTTCTACACTTGCCAACACAGGAATGTCCTTCACTAAAATGGACGAAAGAGAGAAACAGCAGGCATTGGAGGAGGAGCAAGCTAGACTTCAAGCACTGAAGGTACTACTTCTGGTTTTGTTGGACATGCAGAGTCAGAAAATGTGTAAGCTAGTTTGGCAGCTGCACTTCATATACCCCTGTAAAAAGTAACTTGGCTCTGTGTCTTGTTAAAGTGAGAGGGGTGTGTGGGTGTGTAAGTGAGAAAGAGTGCTTTGAGTGTTTGGGAATTGACCATATGCTGCGGCCTTAGTTTTCATTTTGATCACAGCATCAAATCTCTGACCTATTTTAAAAATCTTGGATTCACAGATCAAGCCAAAGTTGAGCATTTCCACATCTCACTGAGCTTGGTGTGGAAAGAGCCAACCAAATTCTTCATGAAATCAATGTGATTTGAAAGTGATTAGCTTTGGCTGGATCATGGCCTTAACTCATGAACAGGACAGTCTCACTGATTTTCATGACAGTGGAATATGGCTGAATTACATCATAACACTGTAGAATGGAGATGTGGGTTAACTTCGCAAGATAGTTAAGTTTCATTGTTGGTGTACTTGCATTCTGAAAAACTCACATAATGTAAAATTTGAATTATCTTGCACAACTCTTTTAGGAACAGCGATTGAGAGAGATTTCTGTGGTGTCAAATTCAACTTCTACATCTGCCTCTCCAAGCACTTTATCAGGGAAGAGTGTAAACACCAATGCTGCAGCTGTTGACCTATTTGCAACACCTGCTCCAACCACCAATAGGTGAGGAATATTTCAATATCGGGTACAAATAATCTAGAGTCAGAACTTTTTCATATTATGGTATCGGAAAGCATTCCCAAGTGGAAACTCAGAATGCTTTGTGGGAATTGAAGAGAACAGGCACTTCATTTGCATAAAGGTTTTAGACTCTCATTCATTGTTTTACTGAAGAGAAACTTGACTAAGTTCCTTTGTTAAAAAAGCAATTGTAACCTTTCTCCTTCCCTTTTACAATAATCTTTGTAATCAATTAATTGAAAAATTAGGATTGAATACTGAACGTCAAGACATATACAGTCATTTTTACATAAAGTATATAACATAGAAGTGATACCAGCAAGAAAAAAATGTAAAAGAAGTTGCTCAAATCTGACTTTGCAATGAGAAATGAATGTATGAGATCAGGCACCAAAGGTTGTACATAGTACTGTCCAAACTTCCAGCCTTAAATTAATATGGCATTCCTCCATGCATTAATAATGACCTCACCCAGTCAACAACTGGATTGTAGACTTTTTCCAATTTAGCAGTTATATCCTGCTTGTCCTGCAGTTGAAAATCAACAGCCACAAGAACAATAAATAAAACCAATATAAAAGCCACATAAAAATTCCACCTTAAAATGTTACAAACCACCAGCAGCAGAACAAATATTAAAACCAATTGAAGATTAAAACGGTCAAATAAAACCAGTTACTAAAAAGGTCAGATGCTGAAAGCCTTCCTTCACCATTTATTGGAAGGCCTATAAAGAGGAGTCCAAACAAGGCTACAGAATCTTCTGCAGCACAAGCCTGGCATTGACAGTATTGTTGGGGTGACAGTGGGTTAATACTTGCTTTATTGTTGTGAACAAAATCTACCTTGGAGAGGAGGATTCTTGCAGGATCTCATCAAATCAAATTTGTGTTGTAAAGTGAAATTTCAAGTTATTTCTCTCATGTCAGTGGATGTATATGCAGGCATTTCTTGAAGTTGTCTAATGTTCAGATGTTCAAACAGCATAATAAACTTCCTCTTGCTTAAGTATGCCATTTATAGCTGACAACCTTCTTGGAACTTTCAGCATGCCCAACCTTTCTACTGATCTCTTTGATCTCCAACCTGCATTTGTTCCAACGGTACAGAGTACTCCAGCCATAGCAACATCAGCAGGCAGTGCCTGGGGAGGTAAGTTTACTGCTGTGGTTAAACAAAACATTTACAGTCCTTGGAATTAATTGTCTTTACCCTTTCAGATTGTCATACATTCCTGAATGCACAGCTAATCTTATGTTGTCATGTAATCCAGTTGCCTTTATTAATAGCTGTGGCAGAGAAACATGTAATTGATAACAGCAGCTATTATTGTACCCCAAAATTATTGCTGTTTTTCTTCCTAGTTTTATTAGATACATAAACATCTGCAAATTTTGTCTGCTGAGGGTACGTTACATAGGGTGTAACACAGGCCTTGTTAGAATAAAGTTTTAAAGTCAAACACAAAAAAAAGCAGCTAGTCCCTGGCGGAGCCCCCCGAGGCCTAGGGCAGGTGCACCCCCTGCCCCCCCCCCCCGCTGCCACATGGCCCTGGTGTAACATCTCTGCATCTCCTGGTGTGTGTTCTGAACTGTTAGGTCATTGTGAACCAGTTTTCCATAGTAAATGAAACATGTAACAGGAGCGGAGAACATAACAGAATGTTTGTGGTTTGTGGGTATTTGTAACTGTCCCATTTTGCATTTCTGAGTTCTACATCCAAATGCTTAGCTGCTATCAGAACAACTTGAAGTAGGAAGTTTGGTCTACACGGAGTTGCCTCTGCTCATAATTATAACTTGAATGTTTTCCTCTCATTAGGATTCTAGTTAGTGATGGAATTAAATAAGGCTGCTATATAGAACAGATATGTACAAGAGTAAAAATAGTTATGTCCTCAATACATAGAAAATTCGGCTATAGTACAGATACAGTCCAAACTGGTTGTTTAGATGCTGCTTCCCAGCTTCAACTATAGGCACAGTAAGATCATGTCACAAACTCGTACTTACAGATATCTCTTGTGCATCATACACTTCTGAGTCAGAGGTTTGGGGAAGGAAAATGTAGTGCCAGAAAATCCTACAGGTCACTCTACTTATGAGAAAAGTTAACAAGTGGATAGCTTAACCACCTGCCCCCAGAAGTTAGAAATATGTCTACCAGGAAACAGTGGCTAGCATTCCAGTGCAGAGCAAGCAAAGGTTCAGATGTAATGCAGAGACAGGTTATGAGAATTCCATCTCTACTTTATACCTAAAGCAGACTTAGATTGACAGCCAAGGATGAATCTGTGTTGGTAGAATGCAAGGTGTATTTTGTGAGCAAGTCAGTGAGGCTCAAGGAGAAATAGCAACTGCTTGGTCTAAA